ATTTGGAATATTGTGTTTAGGCTTGGACACTCTATCTGCATAGGAATATCAATTCTATGGGGAATATGTAGACTGGCCAATCGAAACGTAGGCATTGGTTACGTTAGGAAGATCGGTTAGCTAACGTTGGATTGTTTTCAATAAAGCATAGCGTAAAAGGGCCAGGAAACCCTGTCAGTCCTTTACTCCCGAACCAGAAGGTGCGCAGGAGCACAAGGTACAACCGCCTGAGAGGCACTATCTGCAGTTGGCACAACTCCTTCAGGGAAACGGGAGGTTCCTTCACATTCGGTCACACTGATCGAAACCTAGAATCCAAGCGGTGTCAATGGAAGAGCGCGTTGAGTGAATACACCGTCATCATCATCATCAACAACAACAGTACATCAGCCATGTTAACACACGTTTCGCTGCCATACAAGCACAAAGATCTATAGAACGAATAAAAAGGTATAGAAAAAGAAGAGGGGGAAGACATAGCGGAAAACCTCAATTCATGGTCAAGTCGTCTACCCTTTGTCAACAACACCATCACAAACAGCCATCATGCAAAGATAAGACGGCACGGCGAGGCAGCTTCATTTCGACTTTTACTGTCCCACGTCATAATCAGCCATTATCCTGTAGGCAACAGCACCAATTGCAATGCTTCACCTGGTCTGACGAAGCCTTTGTGTCAAGGGCGAAACGTTACCAAACTACTATGCCAACCGATTGTTTCCAAACCTATCTGAACTCAGCACCAACTTTACTTTAAACAGGCAATCCGACTAGGACACGGCAGCGGACGCGCCACTGGTGTCTACTGCGAGCCATGTCCTGCAACGTCTCCAGCCAAGCACAAGGCGAGTCACGTGGACTCCAGCCTGGGAGACGAGAAGTATCAACGGCATCCATTTTGGTCGTCGGTGACTTCATTTTTCGCTGCCAAGTCAACTTCTGTCCACCTCCAGCCTTACACCACCCTACATCTGACAAACTAGACAGGGCCCTGCTAGGTACTCGGTGACCAGGCATACGTAGTACGTGCCCAAGCCAACGCAGTGCTATCTGCTGTTCTAAGGAACTAGCTAGCTAGACTTCCTCCACTCCTATTTAAATTGTGGGGACGTGCTCTTGTGGATGATTTGCACAACTTACTAGGGAAGTTGTGGGAGCTGGAGACTGTCTCAGTAGATTGGAGGCGCTCCGTCTTGGTCTCAATTTTCAAGGTAGGCTGCCGTTCGGATTGCGGCAGTCATAGAGGAATCAATATGATCTCAATTGCCTGTGATGTCCTTCATTGATTGACTTGCACTCTTGAAAGCCAGACTCTTGGGGAGCAAATTGGGTTTCGTCGAAGTAGCGACTGCATTGATCACATCTTCATATTATGTCAATTGATGGAGCACCGCCATATTTATTCCTTACCCACCTTAATCGTATTTATAGACGCCAAAGGTGCCTTCTATTCGGTTGATCGATGTGCTTTTTGCTGTCTAATCAGGAAAGGTGCGCCCGAGAAATACCTACACATTGTCAGAACACTTTACGCACGCAGTTCTGGCAGAGTGAGGGCTCACGGCAAATTGTCACCGGTTCTTAATATCTCCAGCAGTGTGAGACAACGATGCCCGCAACCACCTTTCCTCTTTAACCTTGCCATCGGCTAAGTCATGGAATGTGCATTCACAGGACACGACTTGGAAGGTGTGGAACCGCTCCCAGATGATCAACTTCTGGACTTCGAGTACCCTGACCATATATCCCTAATCTGTCACGGTTCACAAATCTGCAATGCAGCGCTGAATAAACTGGCTCTGGCTGTCAGTCGTTTCGGGTTAAAAGTATCACCCTTGAAATGTAAAGTCTAAGCTTAGCAAAGACGCACTCCCCCGCTGACCGTCAGCGGTGACCACCTAGAAGTCACCCTGAAATTTAAGTATCTTGGCAGCTATAGTAGCGCCTTTGGGATTGAATGTGGTAACGAACTGTATAGCAAAAGCTCGAGACGCGTTTGCCTATCTAAGGTTTGGGCGCGACATTACTCGCTCTGCAGCCGTCCGTTCAACTCACCATTGTGGTGACGAAATCTGACCCATCAGATCGACAGATGTAAAGATGCTAGCTAGCTACAATCGCTCATCGCTGCTTTCGCACTTTTGCTCGTTTCTGGTTGGAACACTATGTGAGCAATAAGTGTTCGGCGAAGTGTATTTGATGCAGGAAGAGCGAGTGAACCGCTCAACACCTTTGTCTCACGCACTAGGCTCCGATGGCTGGGCCACGTGCTGCGCACGCCCACCACCGACTCCCGCTTTGTCCGTTGTTTTCGCGACTAAGATGGGGATGGTAAGGGAGGGCAAGTGATGACTTAGTCAAGAGGAATGAAGTCCCTCGTTTCGAATTTGGCGTCGGTTGGTGCATCCCGACTACTGGGCTGGGTTCACAAGGACGATGAGGATGGGTTGGATACAGCTGCTGGTATGGTGAAGAGCCGGCCCCGGTGACGTTTGTGTTGTATGCTTTTTTCTTCCACCTCCTCTCGCTTATCTTCCCCCTCATCACATTCTCACACGAGATGCGTAATATGATATTGAGCATCATATTACTTTTTTGCTTTTTATATTTTTATCCGCCATGATCTGTATATTGTTTTTTCAAATGTTTTTGTATTGCGGCTTATTGGCTGAAGTGTGTTTCTCACCTTCATCTAACGTGTAATATATCTATGTACATGTGTTTTACGACCGTAATGTCTTACACATCTGTAACCGCGGCCACTCTTCGGAGGGAGTTGGCGGGTTACCAGCCTCTCTAGTCCACATGCTGCTGATGGTAGTCGCGTGGCAGCGAAGTGTCGGTGCAACATACTGATTTTCTGATGAGGTCTTTTTGCCTGCTTGTTCCGTTGGCGTCACCGTTAGATGTCCACTCATCATCATCATCATTACACGTTAGCTGGAGGTGGAAAACACCTCAGCTATTGTGCCGCAATACAAAAGGCAAGACAAGAAAAAACAGTGGCACGCCCGCTGAGTCCCTAGTAACGGATGGACATCGTTCCGGAGAGCTAACAGCTGGCTGCCGTAAAAGAAAGTCATATTATGCCTAACGATTGAGATCGTGATTGGAAGTGGATGCTAAACAGGAGGGGGATGGACAAAGGAACTCACAACACAAACGCCATTGGGGCCGGCTCCTAGCCATATCAGCAAGTGTGTCCAACCAAACGTGTTCACCGTTCTTAGGACCCCAGCCAGGCAGTCGGGATGCACCAACCGACGCCAACTTCGAAGTGAGGGCTTTCATTCCTCTCGACCAAGTCATCACTTGGCCTCCCCTCCTCCTCTTCCAACCGCACCCACAACGCGCAAACAATGCACTTCGCGGGAGTCGGTGTGCTGGCATGCGCAACACGTGGCCCAGCCATCGGAGCCTGGTGCGTGATATAATGGTGCTGAGCGGTTCACTCGCTCTTCCTGCACCAAATACGCGACGTCGAACACGCTCATTGCTCATGCGGTGTTCCTACCACACATGAGCTAAGCTGCGAAGGCAGCGATGATCGAATGTGACGAGCCTCTTCATGTCTGTCGACCTGATGGGCCAGGTTTCACAGCCATATAGGAGAGTTGAACGGACGGCTGCGTTGTAAACTCTGCCCTTCAGGGCGAGAGTAATGTCGCGTCTGCGCCACAGGTGGCGGAGATTGGCAAAAGCACCTCGAGCTTTTGCTATACGGTTCGTAACCTCATCTTCAATCCCACGGGTGCTAATATAGCTGCCCAGATACTTGAATTCCTGAACGACTTCTAGCAGATCACCACCAAGCGTTAGTGCAGGGTTGGGTCCCTGCCAATCTTGGAGAAGTACTTTGCATTTCGATGGAGCAAAGCATAGCCCAAAATGATTGACAGCCAGTGCACTCTCTGTTGGGCTTGTTCTCACTATCCGTTCCAGTTAGGCTCGAGCTCGTCTCGCTGGTTGTGGCAAGGATATCTAACTGCTCAAGAGGACTTAGCCAGATACACCTATCCGGTTTGATCCCTTTTAGGTCGTAAACACATCCAACCTCCCGAAGTATTTGTTTTGTATTCCATTTTCACAGATCTATCCCGCGATCTACTCAACCAACATAAGTAGACAACCAGTTGATTCGCTTCGTCGTGTTTTCGCTCACTTGCAAAATTAGGCTGAATATAAAGAGATATCTAACATATGTCTAAACGGGGCGTTAATATAACGCATTATTAGCGCAACCGGCCACAACCTATGCGTTTTTTCTTTTTAATCAAATCCTATACCCCGTCAGCGCGAGTTATAGACTACCGCTGACTGACCGATTTGTGTGCCTTGACCATTTCAACATGGTCAATTTCATTCAAATTTCGATCGCTTAGAAAAGCGTTTTCTAAGATGGCTTTAAATCATACAAAAACGCAGTTTTCCTGGTCACAAATACTATCCGTGCTTAGCGCAACTCTGTTCCAAAAGCGTCCTAGCGTAGTACTGCATATGTAAGCACGCTCGAACTTTTGTGAGTGACAGATTTGTCTGAACTGTATCACACTGGGACTTCCGTGAGCACGCATATCGGTCACTCGCATTAACTGAGTATTAGCTGCTATTTGAGCTAAACAGCGTGTAGGTCGACAGGAGACGCTTACGATGCATTATGTTATGAATGTTATCTTTAGACATGTATTGGTATTCTGTTCTTCATATTTCAAAGAGTGTTCGAAAACCCCGAGATGGGACGAGTGGCCATCCGGTTGTGTCGACAGTGTTGTGCACTACAATGGAAGGACACTTAATCCCCCGGCGGATGCATAGTATACCACCATGTATTAGATGCATGTTCTTGTAACCTGCTAGAAAGTAAGACGCCGCTACTTCCATTGGGTTTTCCCTTCAATGTTTTGTTTTTTTTGGAACCCGCCGCTCTTGGTCCTGCCGTCATCGACACTCTTTTGCTGGACATATCCAACCACTTACGGAGTGTTTGTTTTGCATTTCAGCCTTACAGGTGTACAAAGATATAATCCGCCCGTCGGACACTTAATTATCCGAAACTTCGCGTTGAAGGCATACTACGCTCTCGCTTTTTATTACCGAATTATCCGTCCTTATGCCCTAGAAGACTATAATGGATACTCTTCACGAAGTAAGTATGTGTACCCTCATCGTTCTACTCTCAGGAAATCGATGATTTAAACGAAGAAACGTTTGGTTGTGCTGAAGCCGGTAACTCGATGACGTTTCCTTTAGCTAGTGTTTAGGCGATTGGGAGTCAGAACACGAGAAATTCGCCCTCACGCAGACTGCAAAAGAGGACTGCGCGCCAGACGCGAATGAGTTACCTAAATTCTGGGAGACACCTGGCGAAACTTCATTCCTTTGGAACCCCGATGTGCTGAATACCTACAAAACGCTCCTAGACGACGGGGGAAACGAAAGGGTTGGTTTCTTTATGTGTATTCCAATTCTTGCAGGGCGTAGACGTTGAAGAGACTTTACAGAAGTTAGTTTCTGAAGATGATGCGTTCGATGACCCCGCAATTTTGGATATCTCAAAGAAAGTGGCTGATCAAAAACTGTGCGGATCCGCTTTAGATAAAATATTGGGCGCACCAGCATACCCAACCACCACTGTTGACATTTTGGGAAACGGACGTGACATCTGGAGCCTTAGCGACAGGGGGTTGTCATTGACGAAAACGGGTTCAAGCGGCCTAGGTCTCAGACCAACTTTCATAGCTTGCAATGCTCCCAGTTTGTCACAAAATGTTGCCCGAACTACCCAGGACTATACTCGTACCCCCGGTAATACTAATTGCAACTCACACCATGGCCCATCTTCTCGATCAACGATCTTCCCATCATTGGCCAACCTTCGCGATGATTCCCGGCAGTTGGCATTTCAACCGCCCGGTGTACAGAACCCATTGGAGATACTGCGCCCCTCTTTTACAACTTGTCGCCAGTCGCCTGAATATAGCTGCTCACACCCTTCTATCCAGAGTAGTTCAACTGTTTCCCAAAGCTCTTGTTACATTCCGAACGCGGAGCAGTATGGATCATTGATCCAGGTTGCCTCTAACCGCCTATCAGCGCAAGTAAGCAATGTGTACAGATAAACCATATTTGGCATTAATCCTTCCGTCTCGTTTGCATTGTGCTACTCTTGTCTCCAGGCAGTTTAGTATCTCATTAAACAATGCATCATAACTTTTCGCCGCTGAAAGTTTTCAAAATACAATGGCAATGAACAGCTGCTGCGGTACCCATACTTGCATCACTTAGGATTCACAGAGTGGCACTTTAGATTTACCTTCTGTTTATGCATTAGTCTAATCCCGATATATGTTGGGTCCGGCTCAAGACAACAACATCGACTACTAATCCATGTTATCTTGTAGAAACTCCACTCATACTAAAAACGATGGGAAATACTCAGCCTCATCATCATTTTGCTTATATATGTTTGACAAGTTTCAGTTTAATGCATAATTCTGCAATTTGATACTTGGAAGAACAGGTTGCTGAATGATTACAAGGGCTTTTGCTGACACACTGGATGATAAGAATAAATTGTTGGCAGTAATTTTGTTGAATACAATCCTTCTCTAACACGTTCGATGTGTTATACCAGAATGGTAGCTCTCTGGTGTTCAGAGATGGCGAAAGAAAACAAGCACTAGGTTTTGTTCATGGTGCAGTGAAGTTACACCAAAGCTTACACTGAAAGACAAACATACTTTGGTAACCATGGAGAGTAAAAACACGACTTAATACATGGTTGACGCAACAGAGTATACAGTGGAGCATGGATTTGAGGAATGGACGGTGGAGCAATATAGCTTCCGAGAAGGAGCTTAAAGTGAATTCCCGATTAGAGGTGATTTAAACCCTACTGTAATGGAGAGTGGATAGTGCTATTCAGCATTATTGATGCGCATGCCCATCAACTGCATGTTCAACAAAAACTGAAATCAAGGGAGGAATAAAAGTGAACAATAAGGGCAACCGAAGTAAAAACCAGAACTGAGGTGAGAATGGAGTAAGTGAAAAAGGGTAAAAGCGAGAGTGTATATTTATTGTGTGGTCTGCCGAGATGCCTAGACTTGGAGCAAGTCCAAAACAGATCACTACTCAACTTCACGCAGTACACGTGTCATGCGCACTTCACGCATATCACACTGATGTACGATGACATAGTCGATCAGGTGAGCGTGATCACTCCGTGGGTGCGTCCAAATTGCTATATCACTCGCACTCAGTGCAAACCGAGTGTTCTTGATTTTCAGGCCTTGAGTGGCACACAGTGAGAGCAGCCTGACACTGTTCGCATTCGCTGAACCAATGCCATCCGGAGTGGTAACATCTGTCCACACCGATGCATCATATCCAACGCGCGCATTGAAATCACTCAGCAGAAATAGTCGGTCACTCCTCGGCACAGACCGTATCACGGAGGATAGCTGAGTGTAGAATTGATCACGCGTGTCATCGGGATAACACATAGTACGTGCTTATAAAGGTGGCAAGCTTACCTCTTCCGAGTCTTAGGCGAACAGTCATCAGTCGCGCGCTGATGCCAGTTGGTTCACCCACCAGCTGGCCATGGAGGCGATCGGATGTAGCAAATCCGACCCTATGTTCACGTGGTGCCGAGGAGGCGTTGCCCACCCAGTAGCATGTGTAGCTAGCACCTGCTTAATGCAACTGACCTTGCTCAATTAGCCGAGTCTCACTGAGCGCCTCAATATCAGCGTGGTAGCGCGCCAATTCCATGGCGACCAGTGCAGTGTGTTGCTCGGGACTCTCACTCGAGTTTTGGTCCAGTAGTGTGCGCACGTTCCAGCATCCGGTGCTAAGTGCTTTGCTCGCATGCATACGATTGCATTGGTGGGCAATCGCACGCGAGGTGGCCTTTATTCTTTGGTGGTTTGCTTGATGGACTCCGCCCGGAGCCTTTGACTCACTACCCTGACCCACGAGGCAATAACTTATATATATATATATATATATATATATATATATATATATATATATATCCAAAGTTTTATCCTATGCATGAACCTGTTCAAGGCGACCACTTTTTGTCGGTCCCTTGTGTGGTCGCCTTATACAGGTTTGAGTGCAGTTACGAAGCAGTATGCTTGGAAGGAACCACGACAGTGGACCACCCTGTTTCATGCGCATTGAAGTTCCCAATCCTGGCCTTATTATGGAATGGGGATTCGGAAACAAGAGGGGAGGAGGAGGAGGAGGGTATCCATCGTTCCTTTGCTTAACGTGACATAAGCTGATGGAGGCATTTAAACACAGCATACCACGAGAATTATTGAATAATTGGATGTGGCGACCAGTAAAGTGTCTGGGAGACTCGTAAGAATTTTATCATCTAGAGATAGACAGTATATCTGCCTTTAACGTACACTAGACAACTTCCACATTTTCCGGAGAAACCATGTTGCGAGAAATGTTTTGTCCTAATACACGGACGAGTGCGTACGGCATGGTCACAGTACGCTTAGTTTCGGTTACCAGGTTAAATTAATCAGTACGCAAGTGGTGTCTTTTATTTACTAAAGAATGGGAGTTAATCAGGAGCCGTTGAACAGAGGCCGTTTTGTTTGAAGTAGTCAAATAAATCTGGTTGGAGAGTCGCATTGCAGTGGCAAATGGAACGGAAGAATCGGAGGTGGAAAGTAGTTTGGACAGATAATCTGCAGTACGAAGGTCAGTTGAAGGTGTTTTTCGGATAATTTGCTACAGGATTTCCCCTTAAAATGATTAATTTGTGGGTATCTCTGAGACTTAATATTACGAAACAATCTGTTTAGGTCAGTTCTGCGCATGGATGCTCTCTGACTACTTAGGTTGGCTATAGGCTGAGCGGGCCAGCAAGTATTTGGCTTCGGTGACTATCTGCCATATAGATTTCACCCGCTGATAGCATGCGCATGGCGAGGTACAAAGGTTGATTAGTTAAGCGCTTTGTTGAAAGCGATAGATTACCTTGCCTAGAGGTAATTATCACAGCATTTTTAGATGGGATTATGCTTACGTCTATCAATACGACCCGCTCACTATTTGGCCATTATGTTTGTTCACTTTTGTGTCTCTGTTCATTGGGAATGAATCCACAGAGCGCACGTTGCTGAACTTGTCGTTTTCGGCGAACCAATGCCATTACCGAGTAAGTACTGGATAGAGCGGAGCTGAACTATGCTTCACTGACTTAAACTCGCATTGTTTCGGAGACGAAATAACCGGTAAACATGTGCTATCGTAGCATTCTTTTCGGTTAAAATTACTTTTTAGGGTCACATGGCTACATCGCTGATGAGTAAGGAGCTATTCAGACTACCTTGTTGGAAAATGGACTGCGATATTTACTTTGATCACTAGTTGGTGAGATAGGTTCGATGTCAGTCGGGGATAGGCGGACATGACGCATAATTTCCCTTTGCAAATCTGTAATCTATCCTCAGAGCTCCGTTACTAAATCGATACAGTATTGGACAGGTATGCTTCCGAGACTTATTTAGTCTCAGACATGTATGATGTAAGCCATCCATATAATATGTTCTCGCCATTACTGCGACAGCGGCTTTTAAACTCACTTTATCTGGTGTGCTGAAGGCAACCACATTTTTAGAGCCTTTTCGCTCATGTACCTCAGATGCAACGAAGACAAGAGCATTTTCAAACCAGTTGAGATGCTCAAGCTTTGGCAGATTTGTGGTCTTAATACAATAGCTGATTGACGTCATTTCGTCCTGGACTGAGAATATAGGCACCAATTTCTCCCTTAAGTCCTTAACTTATGATCCAGATACGGCTTAGTGTTCATGCCTTTGGGCAAGTTGGTTTGGAGCTACGTCACAGTTGTTTGCAGGTGAACTGCCTTGGACGTTCAAGATAGTTTACGTTTTCGTCCTTGTTCTGGTGATACTTTCGTCCTTACATCTAGCGGACTTCTCTGAGCTAGCAGGATATCATAATGCGGATTGCCTAGACCAAATCCGATGATAGATTTAGAACACGTTGAAGAAGCGTAATGATACTTTCGGACAGTGATTAATCCGTAGCCAGTCAGTGTGACTTCTGTCTAGTTGCTGAAACCACGAAATGACAGTTTGTGTCTAATCACTGTAATTTGATTCCAGCTATAACGGTTCTAATGGCGAAAACGGTAATTTTTTGAACCAGGGATTTGCCCAGAGACAGACGAAAAACATCTGAATAGAGAGACGGTTAAAACATTTTAGGCAAAAGACTATTTGCGTGATGGACGGTGCCTGATTGGCCTTCCATTGGCTGCCTTCATGTCCGTTCTTTTCATTTATGATATCGCCATACAGCAGCCTATCATGGTGGACTTGACTGGATGTTTTTCTCTTGATTCCGTTGATTGCACTTTTTGAAGTGATTATCAGAGTACTGTTCTATTCTGAACTCTTTGTACTACGATTCCAGAAGTTATGCACGTCTATGAGGAACTATCATGCTCTTTTGCAGCGACAGGCGGATTGCGTCAGGCCCACTCTTTTTCTTACCCTATCTTCAAACTTGTACTTGAAGTGATCCTGACCGACGACTATCCTCTTACACACACACACACACACCTACAATAGAGGTTTTGTTAGACGACCGATTGTCGATGATATGGCTCACTTTGGCTCGGACCTTCCGCTATATAGGTGCTGTTGAATAATGCAGCATATCTCGGTATGTGTTTCGCACTTTCAGAATCATAGTTACCACTACGGAAATGCGCCCCTACATTGCCATCACTCTCAGTTACCTATTAGTTATCCGAATCGGTTTATGGGTTTACTTCACTGGGTATCTGCATGACTTCTTGTGGCCGTATCATCGAGGAGGCTATCTCACGCATTGTTGACTCGTGTGATTTTCCAGATCCATAATAAGTCCTAAATATGAGGGAATCTGTTACCGGGACCCGTCCATAGTAGCCATCGAAGCTAGCTTTCTCTCTCTCTGCCTGGAGCAGCCCGGAGAAGATTGGTGGTATGCCGCCTGTAGCCGATTGGTTAGCCAATGAGAGTAAACCAATGGTATCACTTATTAAAAGATTCGCGACACTACAGTATGGCCACTTTTACTGTATGAATCTGAGACACGGTCATTATAGGCTGAAGAAATTACGTGACTAACCGTCTTTGACGTCCGATGCTTCGGTGTCCATGCTCTTATCTAGTGAGAGCACCAAGAGAGTGCTAGGGAAACTCATTTCCTGCCTCCTAATAGACCATTGCTATCTGGTTAGACTGTCCGTTGAATTCTATTCAGCTGTGCTGTGTGTTACATGTCTTCCGAATGCCAGCTGGCTCGCTGGATCGGCTCGAATCGCTCACAGGTACCGTGCCCAACTTACAGATGTCCGTAGATGGCGGGTCAATAAAATCGGAAGTTACCCACTACGTAAACAAAGTTGGTTCTCTTTGTCTCCTCTGGTGTGGAGCCTTCGTATCGTCGAAATCAATGGTTTGATATCCCACGTATTTCGCAAAATTAAAGTGCTGGTGATGTTCTCACCCTCATCCCATTCTGTTTCTTGACTCAACCTACCTACTCTAGTTTTTATCCATCTCATTGTGAACTTGGGTTTTTCGATTAGTTTCTTCATACCACTTCACCATATCATTTACTGGCCGCTTGGAAGCTTCGCCCAAATAGGCACTGGATTGACATATAATGTACATTCGCATGCAGCCGGCTATCACGCCTCTGGAGATCGTCGCCCAATAAACTTAGATGATTTGAATCCCCCATCCAGTCTAATGAGACATCAAACGCCCTACTAAGCGTTGAACCTGCATTCTAGTGCTTTTCCGGGCATGTGAAGGATCTCAGTATTGCCCATTCGGCGATTCCACCAGACACGAGCGGTTGACATCAGAAATGGCCAATCATTTGATGTCTCCTGCCTGCATTGTTGATCATGTCCCTGAACTGCGCGTCGAACTGCAGCTTTTACATATTACTCGATCAATGAGGCTATGCTGCACCTTTTCCATAAAGCATAGTTTTAATGAATCCTGTAGTGTACTTATGGCGACAGGTGCACGGACAAGCCAACTGAACCACTAGATCTTTTCAGTTTATTTGTGTCTCACTCTCACCCCAGTGTTATACTCTTTACTATCTCTAACCTTAGTCGTTTGTTTTATACAATCTGGCTGGTTTCTCTATGGAACCCATCTTTTTCAGCAATCACTCTTCTTTCCGTCAATCGGACTTCATTTGGTTTATTTTCCGTTTTTCTCTCACTGTATGTTCACCGTATCCCTACCGTGCAGCTTCTGTTGATGCCAAGAATTCTTGTCTATAAAATCCAATTTTCTCTACCTTGCGTTTTGTGTCAGTTCACGTGGTCGTTAGCTATTGTGGAACTAGGTCAGCTCTTGCACTTCAATGTTACGAGTCCGTCAAGGATTCTAATAGTCTCGATCGGGAGTCTTCGTTTAAGAAATTTAAAGCACTGAGTTCCCTTGATCATTCTAAATAAGACAATGAGAAGACTGGTATTGCGAGATGGAACCATTTCGTGTTATCTGCTCAATCGCAAACTAACAACATAAAGATGAATCACATGACAGAAAAATCGAAGCTTTGGAACTGGTCACCAAGGAAAATTACGTAGACGCAAGAATAACAGATCAGCGAGCGTGATCTTAGGGTCATGAGCCCCAAGGAAGCTTCAGGGAGCGAAGCTGTTGAAGTGTTCATACAATCCTGTCCATGTAGCTTTCCTGTGAACAGAACGTTTTATGCAGCCGTCTTCTCGTCTGGTCAACAACACATCCAAAAACGGAAGGCAAATGTTATCCTCCAGTTCGCAGATAAAACAGGCGTTTGGATGTGCGTTATCGAGCACATTGAGAAAGGATAGAACAGCGTCTCTACTTGGAGCGATCACTAGTGTGTCATCTACATATCGCCGGTATCAACACATTTGATTGATATGCGGCTCACATCTCATTTCAACCATCGTCATGAAGATGTCAGCCAATACCGGACCAAGCGGACTTCCCATGGCTACATCATCCAACTGTCGGTACGGCTTGTCTTCAAATAAGAAATGCACATTTTCCGTGCATAGTGGCAGCAAATCCTTAAGATATTCCACGGGAACGGGTAACACTACTTTATTACTCATGATAAACTCACATAAGCAATTCACCGTTTCTCTTAATGGGATGTTAATGAACAAAGACTGCACGTCCATTGAACACATTACCTTGTCAGCAATATTCATGTTTTGCACACAGTCAATCAGTTCGAATGTATCCTTCACAGTATACTTTGTCATCATTCGTCTCACCGGTGTAAGCAGATCAACTAGCCAACGTGCCAACTTGTGGTTTGGTGAGTTACACATGGATAGTACAGGTCTTAAAGGTGTGTTGGCCTTATGGATCTTCGGTAAACCATACATTTGTGGGATGCGTGTCACCCTTGGCTTTAGAGAGTTGTACGTCGTATCTGTTATCATTCCATGTTGTATCAACAATTTTAGTTGATTAGTCACCCACTTTTCGATTTGTGTTACAGTGGTTTCGCTTAGGTCTTCCTGAAATTTGGATTCATCTCCTAAGATCTCATACATCTTGTTTTTGTAATCAAGCTTATTCCTAATTACAACCCCCGTGCAGATAACACGAAATGGTTCCATCTCGCAATACCAGTCCTCTCATTGTCTTATTTAGATCAGCTCTATTGATTTCATATACTGAACGCTTTCCCTTAACTCGCTTCTGTGCTTAAATCGATTTACATGACTGTCTTTGTTGTAGATTCCGGTGCAGGGACAAGTGTTTAATCAGCCACTACCAACCTCCAATAATCCATTAGTTTACTCCAATCCTCGAACATCGATTGGCCCGAGAGCGGCAGCTTTGCCTTTCTTAATGATGAACTTTCTGTAAGTTACTCTATAAAGCCCATTCACCCCACCTATCCCCATTCTACTTGGTTTTTTCAGCGCACTTATTCATTCGAGTTCCAGCTTGCGTAGCTTCACCTAGATCCCCATTCACCATAAATGCTTCTAATTTACGAATCTAGTGGCCTCTACTGCGATCAGTTGGTCCGCATATTTCATCTAATTAGGTTCATCCAACTGACATTTTATCCATTTTGTTACTGAAGCTTCCAATCCCATTGTTAGATCAAGTATCGCTTGGGAATAGCCACAATTCCTTGACAGCTTGAGGCTGTCAAATGTGTCGCTACACTTCCCAAAAAGCATGTATTCCTTACAGTTCCCTTTAAAGGTGACGTCGCGTTCGAACTGTTGAATAGAAAAATCTCGACCGCAGTGACCAAGACATTTCCAGCTGCCAACCTAAAACTACTTGCCGAAACAAGACCATTGATTCCTCAGCGCTTAAAGGATAAACTCCCGGTTCGGTCCGAATCGTTTATCTTATACCAGTTCACCTGCACCTGTGGTGCTAGGTATCTTGGACATACGACCAGGTGTTTGTCCAAAAGAATCGCTGAGCATTGTCCTGCGTCACAACGAAAAGGCACGGTAAAATCCATCAACTGTTCCGTATTACAACACTTGGTCGACACTGGACGCCAAGTCCAGATAAACCAGTCGTTTATACTATCCCTAAACGATACCCAAAACAGCTGAAGAAACATTTATTGAGCATTTCTGAAGCCATTGCTATCAAAGTTCTAAAATCAGAGCTTTGCAAACAGCGCACACTGTTACAGGCTCTGAAATTGCCTTGGCCTTGAACTTGACCTTCCTTGATCACCTGCTTCCTAATGCGACAATCCGATTGATCATATCATTGATTTAGTTTTCATATTGCCCAGTTAATGAGTTGATTGCTCTCTGTACAGGCCTATACGGGCTTTATTCTCTCCAAACGTTTTGCTTCATAATTGTACTCGCCTGATGAGAATTATCGAAAAGAATATTCTTCGCGCACTTGCTTACTTCTGACTCAAATGGGGATTATTTATGAATATTCCTTTCTTCCTGCGATACGGTAGCTAATATGTGTTGCTCACCTTCATCTACTGTACCACGATGCTTATGACGCTGCAACACTACCTCTTATTCGTTAATGTCCATGGTTGTTGTTAACTCGCTCTATTTAAGAGACTGTTGATGCTGCTACTACTACTACCTCCACTTCTCATGCTAATTCTTTCAGTGTATTCTTCCGCTTGCGGCCGTTATATTAATCATTGCTCGATCTGATTTGGTAAATGGTGAAGCTCTGAATGCCACAGTACCCACCCATCACCGTACTTCTTGGGGCGAACGTTAAGTTACTTTAACTCACCTGCAGTTGGCTTTAAGCTCAGTGGTTTGAATCCCTTTGAATCGCTTAGCGATAGACGCATTTATATATGGCCTGTATTCCACTCCAGGCAGATGTTAAACACTACTCCAGGGTTGGCAGGTGCTCCTGTCTGCCCTCACCACTGCCGGCTCATTTAAATTAGTTAAACCATCACTGCGCACATACTGGATGATGATTAAAGACATCCGCTTTCCGATTTGTTTGTCACTGCGGCCTCCATGAGGACAGCCACAGGACTCCTGTGTCTACAGGGCACCATGGGTGGCTTGTGCTGCAACACGCACAGCTCCATCCACACACCCCGTATCTAATGTAAACCCAAAGGAATAAGGCTAGGAGGCATGTGAATGGGTGCCACGTTTCATCAACGGAGCTGGCCCACGCCCTTTCAACATGCACAGCAGCGGAATTCCGGTCTGTATATGTGGGTCTTATGCATACCAAACATAGGCAAGGCGGTGGCTGGACCCTAGCCCGTTCCACAATGAATGGATGGAACCACTCTTTGAGCCTGGCACGGTCTTGAGGACCGTGCATCCTGTCTCCCCAGCAATGAGTAACAGTCTCCTGCAGCCGGTAATCGAGGTGAAAATGCTAGACAAGTGGGCGCCTTGCCAGCATTCACATCAAGCGCAGCCACACCAGGGATATCAATCAACAGTCGGCACCTGAAATGCAAGGAACTCAACACGCAGACCAACTGCCGCGATGACGTAGCACACGTACCATATCGACCACAGTATTGTATTGGGTTAGTAAATTGAATCAGAAACAGCGCATTTACAAAGTGCTGCGCTGATGATGATTACCTATTCATCTGACTCATCGTCTCTTCGATCTTGGGCCGGCATGGCAACGCTGGGGGCTTACAAAACCAGCTTGGCTCAGGCATTCGCCACCGCATGTGATACAGTACAATGCGCTCGACGTCGATGGACGATCCACCATCGACGCCTGTCGCTTCCGTACCCGGCGTTTCTTCTGCACTTGTAGTAGTGTTTTCTCATGCACGTTGGCAACCGCCCTCTTGATATGCTCTCGCCATCGCCGCCGATCCGCTGCCATCGCTTCCCAACACCTGAAATCAATATTAGTTCGTGATAAGTTCATCTTGAACATATCCTGGTAATGTAACTCCGGTTTTCCCACGTGCTGCTTCCCTGTGCGCAGTTGGCCATGAAGTAGCTGTTTCGGTATCCGGGTCAAATCCATACGGCGGACATGTCCAAGTCACCTCAGGTGCCGCAGCAGAAGTATGCAGTCCACTGTCTACATGCCACTGCGTTGGAGCATCCCAGTGTCTACAGTTCAATCACCCAAGCCGATGCGCAGAAGATACCACAGCCACTGTTGCTGGAAACGCTTCAAGTAACGAACATCCTTCCGGTTCATCGTCCAGGTTTCGCTGCTGTAGAAGAACGGACAACACTATAGACCTGTATACCATCAGCTACGTTCCAACGGTAGGCTGATGATCGTTCCACATACCTTTTTTCAGCTTTCCAGATGCAACAGCCTCCTTCTATACGCGGGTGCGCAGCTCCCTGGTCATCTGAAGGGCGGTAGACATTACGCTGTCTAGGTAAAAAAGTCTCGAAGTGGATTCTAAAGCTTCGTTACTAATGTGGGTTTGTGGCAGGCCGACAGATTCCACTTCTGGGGAAGGTTTAGTAAGACAATCTTGCTTGTGTTTATAGTCAGCTTGACCTGGGCCGCTGTCTAAGCGAGAGCCGAAGTCATGTGCTGCAACTCATCCGCGCTGTGTACAAACAACTCATATTCGTCGGTAACTAGGAACCTACGGCTGGTTATCTCAGTCGTGTTCTCGCCCCGAAACGAGGGATGTTCATCAACCCACCATTAATACGGTGCTCCACACGAACACCGTAAGCACAAGCAGTATCAGCAGCACAAGACATCATGGCATGAAAATAAATATTAAACAGGGCAAGGGCTAAGACACAGCCTTGCTTCCCACCAAAGACAACAACAAACTTATCCGAGGTTTGCCCGCTCAGCTGTACCCTCTCCCACATACTACTGTGCAGACATTCAATTAAACTTACAAACTTGCTCTGACAACCAAGTTTACCCAACATCAGCCACAATGGCTCGCGGTTCACCGTATCAAATGCCTTGATGAAATCAAAAAAGCGAGTACAACGGCTTCTGTCGCTCTCTGCATTTCTCTTGCAGCTGACGAGCCTCGAACACCATACCTATGATGCTGCGGTCCGAACGGAATCCGCACCGCTCTTCCGCCACGTTAGGTCCCACAACCTGACTGACGAGGCGGTTGAGCAAGATTCGGGCAATCACCTTGCTCACACAACTCAGCAAGTTGATACCACGGTAATTCGTACAACATTACTTGCTCCCTTTGCCCTTGTACAGTGGTAGCACAAAGGCAGCCTTCAAATCAGCCAGCGCTTCCTCTTTAATCCATACGCGTTGCATCATTTCGTGCAGCGCCTGTGTTAACGCTGGTGCGCCATTTTCAACACTTCTTGCAGTATGCCGTTGGCCCCAGCACACTTGCCGTTTTGCAGCTGAGCACGTGCTCTCTGTGTCTCATGCGTTGTAGATGCGTCGGCAGGGCACATCTTCCTCTCTTGTCGGTGCATCCCGTGCAGCATACACCAGTCAATCTGAAGTGTTGTTAAAGTGGCAGTCAAAGTGTTTTTGCCAAGTCTGCATTATGTCTGCAGTCCATATGCATGCAGCTCCTGAAGTCGGATCGAGCAGCGTCCTCAGCGGCTGTAACGTGGGATGATGCACCGCCTTCAAGGAGTCAAAGAATTCGTTGTGCTTGGCTGCGTTTGGCGTAGCATTCCATCTGCTTCGCCTTCTTTGTCTTGATGCAACGGAGTTCTCAAACCAATCGCCGTCCATGTTTGCGAAAATGACTTCTTTGCATCAGCTAGGTCATCACATGCCCAGCGAACGCTGCATTCTTCTCCTACATTAATGCGCCAATGATCGCACTGTTGTGATCAGACCAGTCGGACCACCTGCAGCTTGCGCGCCCGATCGTTTGCTCCCTAACAACTCCATCCTCTTCTCAGCATTATCTAGGGAAAGACTGTTAAATTTGCGCCAGTTCTGGACAGGTAAGAAATACATAGACTTACGAAAATATATGTACAATTTGGTCCGCGCCAACTTGTGATCATTATTGCACTCGGCTCCACGCAGCACTTGTCATGTGTACTTCACACATGCCACACTGGCGTATGCTGACATAGTCGAGCCGGTGTGCGTGACTACTCCGTGGTTGCGTCTAAGTAACACGCATTGCAAACCGAGTGTTCATGATTGTCAGGCTGTGAGTGGCGCACAGTGAGAGCCGTCGGTTACCGACCCTATTGGCTGTGCCAATTCCAAGCGGACCGATCACGTTTGTCCACACCACGGCATCACGCCCAACGTGCGCGTTGAAATAACCCAGTAAGAATAGTCGATCGCTCCTTGGCACAGACCGTATCATGGAGGACAACTCATTGTAAGTCTGATCTTTTGTATCATCAGGGTAACACACGGAGGAAGACTTACGTGATCCAAATTGCGGGCTAAGTGTCATCAAGCGTGGGCTGAC